TTTTAAAGTAACGTTAAAGTGCCACCCCTAGTCTAGGCCAACCATAAACAAATCCAAAATATTAAGTCATTTGGCTTTATCTATGAAAAATGCGAGCTGAAACAAGTTTAAGAGGATTATTTTTGACCTCAAAAACTGCTATTCCGAGGGTATGTTCAGTATTTTGACGTTATCTCATGAACGGCTCGACTATTTGAACTTAGAAACGTCTCATTTTATAGAGAACAGTTTAGGCTACAACTTTATCCGATTCAAGTCCTAGACATATAAGCTGATAAAAACGCTATCGGTCAAAACCTGTTCAAAACGTGAGAAATCGCTTGTTCCGGATGGTCGGTATTTTGGGTGTGGGTGTGTGGTCTTCTCTTTATTAACATCCACACCCACATCAACATCCACACCCACACCCACACCCACACCCACCACCACACCCCACACCCCACACCCACACCCCGCACCCACACCCACACCCACACCCACACCCACACCCACACCCAAACCCACACCCACACTCACACCCACCCACCCACCCACACCCACACCCACACCCTCACATGACGTTCCGACCTTGTTCAAGAGACTCTTCAAGTGTGTTTAGAATATATTATCACATCATATTCTATAGATCAAACTCTTCAAATTCAAATGAAGAAGTTAAGACGTATAGAAGAATTCGTAATAATTGTAATATAATATCAAGATCATATTAGAAGATACCAGAAGTATAACATCCGGTGTCAATTTTTGTGTATATGAGTGAATCGTAACTTTATTGTACAATTGCATTTTTTAACCTTTTCCCCTGTAATTCCAGTTCCTATAGTGCGATCTCAGATCTTTTTTTTTCTCGCATTCCTTAATGTATCTCCCACTACCACGAAAAATTTCAGCTCCATAACTCATCATCCGGCTGAGATATAAGAGGGACAATTCCAAAAAACCATTTTTTTCGATGAGTCATCGATAGAAAACGAAATTTTTGAAGGAACGAAAGAAGAAAAATAAAATAGACGAATAGCAAGTTTTGTGCAGAATTTAATTCTCTATCTATCCATGCGACTCACTTTTGTTTGTTTGTTTTTTTTTTGGTTCTATTTGACGAAAACAGATTTACAGACAAAGTGTAGACCCAGTTTAAAACGATCCTAGAGGGAATAAGGAACATACTTTTTAAAAAACCAAAACCAGTAAAAGATAGAGCGTAAAAAATACTACAAAACTATCTAAAAATAGTTGTGGTAAACGTTTTTTAATTAGGCCAGAAGACCAAAAAGCTTTAATTACGTACTAACTGTAGACCCAGTTTTTCAGAATTGTTTTGTCTTTTATTCCTCAACTACTGAAAGAAAATTAGTCGGACTGCCATAGAAAGATGCAGCGTGAAAAACTGAACAAGAATATCATCAACTAGTTCTCTGTTTCGCTTACTTTTAGGGTGAGTTTTACGATATACCTCAGAATGTAGACCCAGTTTTTTTTTGTGGACCCGATTTTTGCTTATATATTTTTAACTTGATTTCGACGAAAAGCATTACAATCATAGACTTTTCGACTCATGAACACGTGCTGAGTCTGATTCATTTCTTTTTGAGCTATTTGAAAGCGGGACATGGGAAAGGAGCGGCTGATTCAGTTGGGGCCACGCTGAAAAGGAAGATGGATGAAGCGATCAATTATAAACCTGATGATTCGTTTTCTAGTGCGTCTGATCTTATCGATGCCATTGAAGGCAGGACTGATATAAAACTATATCATTATGGGCAATTCGATGTTGAAAAAGTAAAAAAAGCATTACCGAAACTTTCCACAATCAAAGGTACTGCTACTCTACACGAAGTAGTAGCAACGAGTGATGGAAAATTTTATGGCAAAAATATATCAAGCGATAAGGAAATGTTATTAGCAATGAAGTTTTAAGTTTTTAGTAACACAGAGCCATACTTTCGCTTCTATGAGTGATTTTAATGTAATATCTTGACTCAGAACTATAGGTTTTATTGCTTTTTATATTTGTAACATGAAATAAACAAGAAATGTAGTGAATAAAGTGACTTTAAAACAATGAGGTTAAACCTAGTGTCTAAAATAAGACTTCTGACTTTGAAAGAGTACAGAATAGACCGAGAGCTTTAAGACGAGGACATATAACAATATTCTGCAGTTTTTGCAGACTCTCTAGACACGTAATCTCAGAAAAATCGGCTTTTTTATGAGGTTTTCTTCGGAAAAATGCGTATTTGGACATTTTTCGGGTTTTTCCTTTTTGGTGCACTTCGATTGCTGTGAGTACCATTAGATTACACCACCTCAGATCTATCTAATGATGCATCATACATGGGCTTTCAACGTATATTCGGAGCAATTTCTTTTAAAAAGGTTTTTGTTGAAAACTCGAACTTGATGTTCGAATATCTCGACAAGGACGAGTCGGGTAGCGCGGAAATTTTTCCTACAGATTCACTGAATGATAAGAAACAAAATGTACCAATCAGATTTTCTCTGGGAGCACTTTCATTTTTTTTTGTCAATTGTACAAAAAACTTACGATTCACTCATATATAGATACCATGCCACCATTAGCGGTTGAGTTGCGTGCTGATCCTTGTATATAAAGATTCTGTGGCACCCTCAACTTTTGAGATGCCTGCTGATCTGTGTATGGATATTTCATGGCACCCTCAGTGTTTGAGATAAGTGTTAGATATAGTGGTTGTATGTACATGTCTTTACTTTACGTATAAGAAGTTTTTCAGTGGATCCGATATTACGTAGACTTGAAAAAGGATATCTACGTAAATAGTAGTTTGATGGTTGGGAATGACTCGAACGAATCGGGACTGCACTCCAAAAAGAAATCCGTTTCCTAGCAAAACCAAACGTGTTCGGAAACCGTGATGTAGTGGCTCATGGGATTTTCCCCCTATCATCACTATACAGATATATTGGAATTTTCTTTGTTTCATTTTTCCTTTCTATGCATGTTTTTTTCCCAACTTACATTAGAACATTCCCAGTCTAACATAGTATGTGTATGTATAGAGCACATTCATGGTATAAGTGTGATTTTACTGTGAAATAAACTAGAGTGCTCTAACTTGTGCTTTTCCTCAATTTCGGGCTTGACATCAAGACGTGACATTTATCCTTGACGGTTTATTAATATGAGTCATTTTGAAAATCTTTTCTTGATCACATATGCATAAAAACTTGAACTACAATAGAAACTACAAAATATTATTGCAAAACAATTATTCAAGTGACATTTTAGTTAAGGTCAGTCAAAATGAACTGTTTATTGATCATAAAGGACAAGAGCACGCAATTCAATACTAATTTGTTCAACATTCATTGAAGGTACATTTTCGTTCTTGAAAGCTGTATGAGCACCAAATTGAGCAACGTCGGACTTACTATCAAATATTTTGAAGACAAATATTTCATCTGATTGCATCTGGCTCAGATAGTACCACTTGTGAGCATCTGGGCTGTTGCACGAGATCGAGTAATTCGAAATAGTGACATCATTCGCTGATCTGTAAACTATTCCCGCATGAACATCATTGTGAGGATCTAACGAACGATAATCACAGATGGTCAAAGGAGTATTAATGATAGGATTGGGACCCAATGGTCGCCAAATATTAATAATTTGAAAACGATTTTGCATCACTTTGTTAGCTTCTTCTTCACCAAGTATTCGTTTCACTTTGAACCGAGCTGCAGGCGGGTCATGATCGACATGCGGAGTAAAGATAGGATTCTTGTGGGTGCCATCACACTGATCGGCCGGAAGGGTTGGTCCACGAAACCGAATTATATGGTTGAAGACTATTACACGAGAAGCATTCAGACGCTTTTTGAGCATAGCAGCAGTCTCCTCATACAAACGTCGTTGCATTTCATTATTGTCATCAAATACTTCATGTATGAGGCCATCATATTTCAGTATTTCAAAACCATTAGTGTCGAGATCAACAGTATTCTCTCTACCGCGCAAATCGTGAATGGTAACGCGAGTTGGCATTTGTGTATGATTTGTGATGTTATAGCCTAATTTAGGCTCTGCATCCGTCCATGGAGAAGAACCATCTGCCGTGTGACTAAAGTAATTAATTTCTCCAATGATATCACCATCCATTTCTAAATAAACGAAATAGAACTGACGTGAAAAGAGTGAGTAAATACAAAAAAAGAGATAATGAAAGAAAAACAGTTCTCTCTCTCTCCTTTTTATCTTATGTCAAGATAGAAACCTATTAAGAATGGGTGAAATGACTATTACGCACCGATGGTGCAACTTGCTTTTGTAGTTCTGTAAGTGATAACGAGTGGCCTATAATAAACAGGTCAAAATATCCTCGCATTTTTGACACACTTTCTTTTCAATTAACATTTGGTCTCTTGGCTGATTCGAACGAGAATTCGAAGCTCTACAAAACTACCTATTTCATTTGTTTCTATATGTCCATTTTTCTACGCTGAGATTTGAAGTATTAGCAAAGGTAAAACGTTCACACTGTTATTGGAAATTTTGTATAAAAAGTTCTGAGGGTGTAGAAGGTTTCTTCCGAGAAATTTCTGCAGTGAAACTGAACTATTTTACATACCTCGATAAAGAATTTTATTTTCTGTATTTGGACATCAAGGTTTGAAATGGGCCACTATTTTCGTGGCCCGACCCAAACCGAAGCGGGTCAGGTGTTATTTAGGCTCACCGGGCTCAATTAACTTTATTTCAGCCCGGCATGGTTCGGTGAATTTTCTATCTCCACTCGGTCTGGGTCTGAAGGATATTTCTTTCACAAAGGTTTTTTGCAATAGAATTTGGAGATAACTTCAATAATCATCAAAATTGAAATGAAGTCCACACAAGATAAGTTGATTTCCTGGTTGAGTCAAATGAACAAAGAAAACATATTGAAATCTATAGGAACTCAATAATGATCATTATGCATAACTCGACGCCCTTTGGTGCAAAATATTTTTGTTAGGGCAAACCTATGCACAGTGCACCATATTTTTGGATGAAAGTTTTTTTCGATTTTAATTATCTACCAAGGTAGAATGTAATGGAAAATAGTCTGTGCGCGAATATAAAACTTTGATACCTTGCATTTGAAGATTCAGCTCATTCTTTAGAAATAACTCGGCTTTTACGTGTAGTCGAACTTACTAGGTTTCCAAACTCTCACTATCGACAATTTTTCGTTCCATGCACAGGCTATTTTCGACCACGAGGTATTTTGCTAGATTGTCAAAATCGAGAAAAGCTTTCTCTCAATAAAATGCCACAAAATCCATAGAACTGTCCTGTTTCTAGAAAGTGATATGCTTCCCATAGATTCACTCGTTAACCCTTTGAGTCCATAGTATAAGAAAAACAACACATATTTTATAATTATTTTTCACAACATAAATTATAAAAATTAGTACCTAATCTCTTGGAATGAAGTAATAAAGAATGCTCTAGAATACTCCTAAACTATCTGCAAAGGATACATATAATCATTCACTGAGAAAGTTCTAGAATGTCCTCAAATTTTCCTTTAAAAAAGGTATATAAAGTCGAAATAACTGTGGACTCAAAGGATTAATCAAAGTTAAACAGTTAGATAAAGAGTTATTTGCCGTTCTTACTCTCAACAATGACTTGTTTTCGACACATTTTTTCTGTCGATTATATCCCTTACACAAATTAACGTGGTTGATACACTACAAAACACTACGTGTGGGCAAGAGATACGATCAGTTTAAGCAATTACTATGGTTTTTTATTTTATTCGAATTGAAATCCACATAGTTTTTCTACAATAAAACTTTTTCAGAAATTTCTATCACTTATAATAGACATAAAGTTTGGTAAAAAATAGAAAAAAAGATAAAAACTTCGGGTTGAGCCAGCCCGAAAGAGAAGTCTTATTGGGCCGGGTCGGGCGGGCTGTCTCGAGTCCTGCCTCACACCACTTAATGTTGTGCAATCACATACGACCTTGTTTGATTGTTTGCTTCTACCTTTAACTCTGTTACATTCATTGCAACTGAAATTTTATCTAAAACAATTAGATTTTCTTATCTATGATGGTAATAGTTGTAACGAAAAATGAGGATGGAGTGTTTCGTTACTGCTGCAGCATTTATTCTATTGTGATCACAATGACAAACTAGAGGAGTAGCATTACTGCCATCCTCGGTGCAGATGTTAACTACACACTACATCACTCTAGTTGTGTCCGTCTCACATCGGACACAAGCTTATATAGGAGAGAGAGAGAGAGAGAGAGAAAAGGATGAACAACGCACGGATAGAACGGGCAGCTACTATCGATCATGGGGTCAGAGCGTCTAGCTTCGTAGTGACCGAATGCCCTCATATCAATGAACCGATAGAAGGTGCACATAGGTCCTGGCCCTAATATCGGCACATATGTGCCGATATCCATATCACCTTCCACTGACCTTCCACTAACGTTTAGTTAACCTTCCTCTGACCTTCCTTTCTTCCATTCTCCTTATACTATTTCTATTGTTATTTCATGCGGTCATCTCTCTCTCTCTTTCTCTCTCATATATAAGCGTGTGTTGTATTGTGAAGTGGTTACATTCTGGAGTGATGGAGTAGTCAATAAACACCATTGCCGAGGACGACAGTAAAACTATTCCTCCAGTTTGTCGTTACAATCGAGCTCTTTCGTCTTTTTCTTTTTAAAAACTAGGGATGTGGATGTGGGTGTAGGTGTGTGGTGGGGTGTGGGTGTGGGTGTGTGTAGGTATGGGTGTCGGTGTGGGTGTGGGTGCGAGTTTTATTCTTCATCTCACCCACACCCACACCCACACCCACACCCACCCACACCCACACCTACACTCACACTCACACCCACCCACCCACACCCACACACCCATCCCACACCCACACCCACCTACACTCACACCCACACAGCCACACCCAC